TTTTATGTTGCATACATGGGTGTTATGTTGGCATACATGGGTGTTATGTTTGTATACATGTGTGTTATGTTGGCATACATGAGTGTTATGTTGGCATACATGGGTGTTATGTTGGCATACATTGGTGTAATGTTGGCATACATGGGTGTGATGTTGGCATACATGGGTGTAATGTTGGCATACATGGGTGTAATGTTGCATACATGAGTGTTATGTTGGCATACATGGGTGTTTTGTTGGCATACATTGGTGTAATGTTGGCATACATGGGTGTTATGTTGGCATACATGGGTGTAATGTTGGCATACATGGGTGTAATGTTGCATACATGGGTGTAATGTTGGCATTCATTGGTGTAATGTTGGCATACATGGGTGTAATGTTGCATACATGGGTGTTATGTTGGCATACATGGGTGTAATGTTGCATACATGGGTGTTATGTTGGCATACATGGGTGTAATGTTGGCATACATGGGTGTAATGTTGCATACATGGGTGTAATGTTGCATACATGGGTGTTATGTTGGCATACATGGGTGTAATGTTGCATACATGGGTGTTATGTTGGCATACATGGGTGTTATGTTGCATACATGGGTGTAATGTTGCATACATGGGTGTTATGTTGGCATACATGGGTGTTATTTTGGCATACATGGGGGTAATGTTGCATACATGGGTGTTATGTTGGCATACATGGGTGTTATGTTGGCATACATGGGGGTAATGTTGCATACACTGGTGTAATGTTGCATACATTGGAGTTATGTTGGCATACATGGGTGATATGTTGCATACATGGGAAGTATGTTGCATACATTGGTGTTATGTGGGCATACATGGGAGTTATGCTAGCATAAATGGATGTTATGTTGCGTACATGGGATTTATGTAGTATACATGGGTGTATTGTTGGCATACATGGATGTTATGTTTGAATGTAGGGGTTGTTTTTTGGCATACATATTTGTTATGTTGGCATGGATAGGTGTTATGTTGCCAACATGGGAGTTATGTTGTTATATATGGATGTTATGTTTGGATACATGGGTGTTATTTTCGCATATATGGGAATTATCTTGTCATATATGGGTGTTATCTTGCTACTTGCTGTGCCGTCCTTTTTAAATCATCATATCGTCGAACAAATGTCGTTGTTGTGCACAATATTGAAACTGCGGTAATCGTCGCCGGTCATATGTCATATTTTCGGATGTGTCCCGATTCACTTTGCACTTTCTTGATAGACGTGGTCGTGTCTGGCGACGTCCACATGACCGTAAAGCCAATGTCAACCTAGGACTTCATGACGGATTTGTCGGAGGATGGGTCGGATGTTGGGTGGCATCTCTATAGTTTTGTAAACTCCAAGATGTCGAGTATCTCACTATTCTTCATTACTTCTTTACCTACCAAAATATATCTTTTGTCCAGTATTGAATTACAGTCCAGTGAAGATGGGATCTGTCAAATGCTCTCTGCTTGAACTCATTTTGAGAGATGTTTTGACTACCTGTCTGTGATTTCTGTCTCAAGTCTTTGTATTGCCTTCAATGATAGCTTTACTTGTGATGATGAACAGTGACGAATATGCAGTGACAACTTCCTTCTGTTGCGCTTTACAACCTTCAGCAATGACGTGTGTCCCTATCACTTGTGAAATAGCAACTTTGCACCCCTAACATGTAATCTCGATTTATTCCTTCTGGAATTAACAATATTGAGTCAAATGTCGATAATAGATCCCCATTTTGAGTACAGCATCAATTTTGGGAACTTTTTATACTGTACACCAGGAGCCGCTTTGATAACGACGCAAACTGATTGTGTTTCATTGTGACTACAGGTTGAAACTTGTGAAGAAAGGATGAACAATAAATGTCTTCAATATCAAATTGATAGTTCCCAGGATAACTCCTCGCAAAAACAACAATCGTTTTTCTTGTATCAGGTGTTAAATGTTTATTTGAGGTATTACGGCATAATCATGCTTGAACTGTTGTTCATTTGTTAATGGGATGCTGTAATCTTTTTCCTGATATCGTTTCATGTGTTATATTACGCGACCTCGCCCAGGTGTACCTGCTGGGATTCCGTTACCGCCAGATCTTCAGTACCCTAGACTTTGCTAACTGGTGCTTGGAGTGAGTGAGTATGGTTTTCGCCGCTTTTTAGCAATATTCCAGCAATATCACGGCGGGGGACACCAGGAATGGGCTTCACACATTGTACCCATGTCGGGAAACGAACCCGGGTCTTTGGCGTGACGAGCAAACGCTTTAACCACTAGGCTACCTGACCACCCCTGGTTCTTGGAACGCCCCATAACTGTCCGCAGCGTTCTGACAAAGTATATGTTTGCAAGGTCATCCAATATACGCGTGTTCCTTCACACTTTAATTCCATTGCTTACGTGTATATATCGCATTGCTCAGAATATTACATGGATTTAGTGTTAGGATTTCAAACTGTTTGTGTAAGATTTACTTGAGGTGGGGACAAATTGACCTAGCTGCACTGAGGCCATGATTGAATATACAGACAACAGTGTAAAACTTATTGATACGTATACCTGCAAGCATAGATACATGCATGCCCACGTACATACATGCACTCTTATTAACACTATGTATTGATCGATTTCAATGTCGGCAAAACAGGTTCAAGCAGTTTTGTTACAGCATAAAGCATATACTCTCGAAATAGACACATGAGTCATGCTTTCCTCGGGAATAGCCAAGTACACTGAAATTAGCAATCAATACGGTTGCGGTTATTCTCCTTCAACAAACCCGTTTTTCTTTTAATGACTGTGGTTTGCCTGTGTATACCAGTGACTGTGTTTGTTTGTGCAGGTCAAGCCCTTCGAATATCGTGAGCATAGACTTTGCAGAGTAGGACTGAAGTCAGTTGAAATGTGTCTGATACAAACCGTGCTACACGGGCATAAACACCCTTCAAGTTCTTCTGTACTAAACGAGATGTGTTTGAATATTAAAAAGGCTTTAATCTATAAACATAATAGGTGGTACTAGACCACAAGGACAAACTATACAAGAAGACTCCATTGTGGTGTAGCATTTCAGTATCGGATTCGCTCATTCGACTCCTATTACCACGGACTTTAGTGCATTAAATACTGTTTATGCACTAATTCAAACAAGATGGGCCAATTTTAAAACGACATGGTTGAATGAATGCATTACTGAAAGGTCCAAACAACTTTCTCTCTCTCTCACTCTCTCTCTCTCTCCCTGATGTCGTGTGGCAATGAACAAAGTATGTATGTATTACTTATACTTATTTTTGCGTTTTTAATTTTTGCGATTGAGTCTCGTTCGCAAAACTCGCAATAATAAAACGGTCTAAAAAATTATATATATATATATATATGTGTGTGTGTGTGTGTGTGTGTGTGTGTGTGCGTGCGTGAGTGCGTGCGTGCGTGCGTGCGTGTGTGTGTGTGTGTGTGTGTAAGGACTGTATATACATTAGCACCAATTAGGCACCTAATTGTTTAGAGATAGACAATGGAGCCCAACTTGTTAGCATGTTGTATAAATGTACTGCCGCCACGTGGGAACTGGAGACCCCCAATTCAAAACCTGAATGAATTGACCCAGGTACAGTACCAGGGATGGCAGGAGATTCTATTGTTGAAACTCAGACGTCTGCTCGGCAGCACGAAGAGACTGGTGTGGCAAGGGGTTTGAATTTAGTTTGTCATCGAGGAGACGTTCCGAGTGAACGCATTTAGGGTGGTCATATTCCGTGTGCTTATACAAAACACATAAACTATTTCTGCGTGGTGCATACAAGTAAGGTGAAATAGTCATCATTATCATCCATTATAGGGATGTATGAACAGCTTCTATATACAGTATTGGTTGTAGTTCCTTAATGTTAAATCTGCTTAAAATTGTTGATACTAGGCTTTGCAAGACATTGTATGCACACTTTTTATGTTCACAACGACATACACATGTTTTTGTACTATCCTGGCAGTGTTCAGGTCACGTTCGTGCCGTTATGTGGATTATGGACACATAATAACACTCAGGGACATATAGGACGAAACATTTCAAGTGTAATTCAAAAGATATTACTGTCAGATTAAAATCGTACTTCACACATTTAAAAGGGCAGAATGTAGTCCAAGCTGATCGCGTCCCACATGTCAGAATTGTAGGTTCGAATTCCGGTGAGTTTGTTGTCAGCATAATACCCTGATCACTTCGTGAGATCGCAATGCTATTAACACTATTATAATTATGGAAATTACATGACGACACAATCAAATGGCATCACTAATTGCTCTGCTATTGAAACTGTGAGCATGACTTTTTACACTTAAGACACTGCCTAATACTGTCACCAAACTGATAAGTTGATGTTGGATGATAAATAAAATCTCACCCTTGTGTCTTTTGATATAATATATATATGTCAACACTCGTTTATCAAAGTGAAAACAACCCACTTCTTCCACTTTTATCAACACATGTTGATATATTTGATATCAAAAGCGCTCAGGTGAGATTCTCTGTGTATTAGAATGTCCTTTTGTGAAACCATGCATTAAAATAGGGGCCCAGCGTCTGTCGCCAGGAGTGGTTCAAATTGGATTTAGAGGGGCCGTGGGCTCCAGAGAGGGTCCTGTGCGTCAACACATTACCCATCAACACAACTGCCGAATGAATATGCAATGTATTGCATGGAAATAATTTAAAACAAGTGTAGGCTAGAACATGCCAACATAATGACAACTGCTAAAAGACTAAATATAACCGCGGGTAAGCAACAACATACATGTATATCAACTGCATTTAAGTCAGAACATTAACAAAATCGTTTGTCATATAAATTTCAGGTGGTATATTTGCAAGTCAAAACTTTATCTTTGTACAGACCCGTAAATGAGATTAAGGCTCAACGTCGTTGCTAAACATAATTAATTTCTTCTCTCTGCTTATCGCCAGTAGGACGTCACTGTTGTCTCACCTTGGTATGGATTGGACAGACATATTGAGTACTAGTATACAGTATGGGGTGGGCTCACCCGGTCTGGTCACGTGACCACCGAACTGAAGGGTAGCAGTATAAAGGCAGCGGCTGGCGTACTTCAGGGCATTACAGCTGGAAGCGGGCTCTGGCAGCATTTGGTCACGGCTGGTAAGTGTCGTTCATTCTCTTCTGCTGATATATACTGTTACACGTTTGTAAAGCTGTAAACCATATGTTATGATTTACCACGGCACACAAACCATTGAATCCATCCACGTGAATATATTTTTGAAACCTCAACGTTTCAATTGAACACATTGAACATTCAAAGGAAACAGTTTAGTGACGAAATTGCTGTTCGAACTCTTGGCATTTTATTGTTACAGTATAAGGTTTAACTTGATACCTATCTCGGAATTGTTGGTAGATATATCCAAATTCGCATGACTAGTAGTCTCTTTTTAAAGAAATAAACGGTAAGATGGGGTTATTTGTCGTACAATTAAAAACAGCAGGGAAAATAAACCATGAAGGACGCAGTCGATCTCGTCAATGTCGGACAAATCCGTTTTATGAACAGGGGGTTGAGTTCATATTTCCCGCTTATTCTCACATTCTTCACGTTTATTATCTTTACCTCTTCTCCCAAACAGATTGTCATAGATCTCCCGGTCTTTGACGCGATCGTTTGGCCTTTACGTCCCCTTATTTAAGGGAAACAACTAACTACCCTTATTACATAATGTCCACCAATTTACGACATTATCAAGTTATCAAGACGTCATGGCAGCAATGTTTTATCGTGAAATAAATCAAACCTCGTCCTCCGTTGATCTTTGCAATATATCGCGTAGCTACCTATATAGACCTACAAAATGTATAATAGTCATATATTACGGTGAGAGACTTTTATCTTAATCTTCCCTTTTATCTTCATGTTACAATAAACTCACACCATGATGTCTGTTTTGTTCTTGTTTGAGTTTTGTACCAAAGATTTCCCATTAAGCGGGCCACTGCTCTGGCCATGATTGGCGCTGTATTGTGTGCATGTATCAATTCACTTCCCATCTGATTTGATCCGCTGTGACAAGTCGTCCAAATAGGGGGCATTTTACTTATTTTAGGATTAACATGCATTAATAAGTATTTTGTCAAATACGCTTAGCTCGTGAAGGCTGAAACATTGTTTTTCAATCTTTGCTTCGTATGATACATGGAACTGTATATCGTGTTTCTGTTTTGTTGTCCAATATTGAGAACATATGTTTGTGCTGTGGGATTTGATGCTTATGATTACTTGAGTATTTATCACAGTCATTCCTTAAATATGTCAAGGATACAAGCTCTGAAAATCATACTTGCAGAAATCCCGACGGAGAGTGAACGGTTCATTTATGCTGAATAAATCTTTGATAAACACTTACCATTCTATCATTGGTACATTGTCTGCTATTTGAACATTGAATAGGTGTGAACACAATGGTGTTGATACTATTGTCTTTTAATTTCAGATTGTTTAACAGGCATACCCATCACAATGGCTGACAAAGGTACTTCCCTATGCAGACATGTGTTCAAGTTGTACAGGAAAACTGGGAGAAAACTGTATGAGCTGCTTGCAATGGGGAAACCATGTGGGGGGCTGTGTCATCATGTGTCACCAACATTATTTTACTTGTGCACAACATACAAACAAACACTAGCTTATTTATGACAACAGTGATAGGTGCTACTTGTTGGGTGGGCAAGCCATGTTTACCCTTTAAGCGAAAATCTGGTGTCATGGCAGATGTTCTGTCTTTTACGTCATGCGGAATCTGTATTGGAAGACTTATTGATCTCTGGCGTTGATATTTTGAATTGAATTGGTTGATCAAGGAGTTAGACCTGTTTGCTTATCATTGAATATTCGGGTAGTCGGGACTGAATCAAACAAGCGATCATGTCAATATAATTTTACTGCTGCAATAATTGTGGCACTCATGTCGTTTTGCTGTCTGACACCAATATTATGTATTTTGTTGTCTTTTGAAACAGATGCAAATATATTCCCTATAAAATATATCTAACTGACAGACATTGTGATCATATTTATGGCACATAATAATTACCCTGAAATTTTAAACTTAGACAGAAATAGTCAATCTCCCGCATTTGCTTTTGACTGAAGACCAACTGACAAAATAATGTAATTCATAATCCGTTGAGTAGTGGGTGTAAGACTGTTACTATTCTCTTTCACAGGGAAACGTTCCAGCTTCTTAGACGGGGAAATTCGAATGGTACTTGTAGGAAAGACCGGAGTTGGTAAAAGTGAAACAGGGAATACAATAGCTGGAGCCGGAAAGTTGACGAAGATATTCGCCTCATTGGCAAGAGCAATGTCTGTTACAAAGAATTGTAAACAGCATTGCTTTAAACGCTTCGGTTACGACTTGCAGCTTGTTGATGTCCCAGGTTTTTGTGACACAGTAAAATCACATGACGACATAAAGGAAGAGATAATGAAATGTATAGCTATATCATCTCCTGGAATACATGCCATTCTTTTCATCGTGAGGGTAGGAAGGTTCATGGAAGAGGACAAAAATACACTTGAAAGGTTCCTGCGCTGCTTTGGAGAAGAATCAAAACGATTTGTGATTGTTGTATTTACTGGAAAAGATGACTTGGATGCGGATGATGATACCCTTGACAACTACCTAGGGGATTGCCCAGTGACACTGAAGACGTTTTTATATGATGTAAGTCGTCGCTGTATTGCTGTCAACAACAGAGGGACGGATGCAGACAAGGAGAAGTTTACCAGAGACCTGATCGACATGATAAAAAGCATGGTTGCTGCCAACGGCGGCCAGTGCTACACAAACGAGATGTATGAGAGGTGTGAGGCTCAGCTTCGAGAAGCTGAGAAGAAGGAAAAACTTGAAGAGAAGAGGGAGAAGCAGCTCGAGGAGAAACTCAAGCAAGAAGCTGCTGCCTATGAAGAAAAGTTACAGAGACAGGATCTTAAAGTGCAAGAATTGGAGAGACAACTTCAACAAGAAAAGAAACGGATGGCTGAACAAAAGGAGACAGCTGCAGAGGAAAACATGAAGAGAGAAGTTCAGAAGGTGAAAGATGTTCAGAAAACCATTAGGGAAGAACATGAGCGTACGAGAGAAGAAATGCGACATGAAGAAGCTCGGAAGCAGATACGAGAGAAAGTTGAAAATGGCGACACTAGTTACCTTGGAACTGCTTACCAATGGGTAAAGAGCTCGCTCTCTGCATTAAACCCATTTAAAAATTGGTACAATTGAGCAATGCTCCTCAATTCGAAGAGAGTCAGACGACTCATGGTCAAAAAGTCTGTGAATGAGGATTGAAATAAGCACCATTTGGGGCTGGGTTTATATCCAAAAAAATATTGTTCCCGAAAATTCTGAAAACAAGTAATTATGCTTCAAACCAGACCCTCGCATCCCACACCCTTGTACTGACATATATGTATATATCCATGTGCATGGAAGTGTTCACGAGTGCCTGTGTGTGTTTGTGCTTATACCTGTCTGGACTAATGTCGGTTCGATAGTGCTCACCACAGTTGAACATGAATACCCCATTCTGACAGTGACTATGAACCCACCAGTGCCTGTTATATAGCCCGTTAAGGCCGAGCCCCAGGCATGGTAGTAACTTTTGGTATGGCGCGGTCAGGGGATCGAACCACTGACCTTACGCACTCCCTGCAGATGCTCTATCAACTAGACCACAGAGGAACATGTGACCCATGTTTGGTTCACCTCCATTTTTTATTGAGAAACGTCTGTCGATGAATTGGTTTCTGGATGTAGTATGGAAAGTAGCGTAATGTCATTAGGTTTGTCTTCATGTTACTACAGTCTTGTTCGTCTTGTTTACTACTTGGCTTTTGCGAATTCTGTTTTGAAATAATTTACCATGCTTTGTAAACTAGGTTTGTATAAATAACAGCTAGATAATGTAATTAATAACTGTTGCTCATGTTTTGGAACTATGCCATGGGAAGAGTAATTTGGCTGCCCTTTCATTTTCGCCTTTTCCTTATTGTCAATTTGACGTGGTCTTACTTTAGACATGTGTTAGATAGTTCCCTTCTGGCAATATCTGCCGCAGAAGGATTGAGCATTTCTGTTATATAATCTGTTCTGGACGTGTGTCTTATGCTAAACATAGGCCACAGAAACACTAGGTTGTCACCTCTATCTACCATTTTAACTATTCAGAAAAAATATGTCCACATGAGTTTACCGCATTTTACTCCAAAGGATCACTACTTTTAAAAAGGTAATACCCCAAATTGTATACATCTGTCGAAATAGCCAATGACAATATTGCGTTAAGCCATGTTTAATAGAGCAAAAGTCACGTGACATATAATGCCTGCAAACTACAAACGCAAACGTCATAATGAGAGTTAAACTGAAAAACACATTTATTCTGACAAAAACTCCCAGTAGCGCGTATGCGACCCACGTGATGCGTTCACAACCTGACACCGCTTCGCATGCTCCTCAGGGTGGTCGTGTAGCCTAGTGGTTATAGCGTTCGCTCATCAGGCCAAAGACCCGCGCTCAATTCCAAACCTGGGTACTTTCTGTGAAGCCCACCGTTATATTGCTGGATTATTGGTAAAGTGGTGTAAAACCATACTCACTCACTCAATCTCATGCTCCAAATAAGTGTCTGGATTGTTGCCAAGGGAAGATTGGTTCAGTCTTCAGTAAGAACATTGCAGAGTTCCTGTGGTGTTGGCAGAAGGACAGGGCATCACGAGAGAGTGATCTGCAGCTCGTTTACACTTGCACCTCAATACGTACAATGACTCCTGCTCACGAATCGAGGTTGTACGTTATAATTCATGATTGCATCAGCTTACAGGTTCACGTACACATCCAGAATGTCATACTTGTTGCGCAAACATGTCCCCGTGCTCTGCTGTACGACAAGGCAATCGATTCTTCCAGCCATATGGATCACACCCTAAGTCATGATTGAGTTCCCTCCATCGCTGTCATGTTCGTCTATGTCCTGAAATCTTTCTCACCTTCAGTAATGGCGATCTGTGAAGTCTAGACAGTATATCAATTCATCATTGAAAAGTACTGAAGCCCAGTCTTGGTCTGTCCAATTGACGTGATCTTCAGCCCAATCCAAATGTCACTGTCTGTGATGTCGGGTCAGTTGGATGCGAATGCATGCCCTTAGTGCCCGGAGACAAGCCTCACTGAGACGATTGTGTACTGTTTGAGTAGAAACTTTAATGCCACTGGCGTTCCGCAGATCATTCCTGACTGGGGTGGCAGTCCCGAAGTGATGATGTCTTCCTGCTGTGTGGTAGAACTCTGTTCCATGTCGCTTTGGTATCTGCAGCTGGTATCTGCCTAATTCTTTGGTTGTCAAGCGACTTCTTTGAGGGGGCATAAGTGAATTCGGTTGTTGCAATCGTAGTAGCAAATGTTGATGTGCTCTCTGATAATGATGTGCAAAGATTCTGTCACGATACGAATGAACACTGGTTTTCAAGCACCTCACGCACATCTTGCCAATGACTGCATGCCTCTGTATATGAGAAACTTTAGGGGTAATCTAATCATAGTGTACAGGGATATTACAATGTTTATTTGTTTGATGATATATTTTTTATATATATCATGAAAACTTGATCCTGAGCAAACGTTGAGTAGTATATATCAAGAGCAGTTAATTTAACAAGTAAATGTGAAACAATGTGTTGAGTTGCATTCTTGTTGATTTTCTTCTCTTTTACAGATTTCTTTGTTAAATAAATTTATAAAAAATGTCTTTTACGTTTTTTTATTGCCTGAAGGCAGTTTAGAGCAACAGCGATATGTGATGTGATCTGTGTTCACATTTTTGCACAATATCGCGATTGTGTCAGAAATAGTGATATTTTTTACCTCAATATTGGAATAACCACAATGTTGGACGTTTTTGAAGTTATAATGGAAAAAAACAAACTCCGATATTTTGAATTAAGAATGTTAGCCCTCACCAATTTCACTCTTCCTCTGGCTTACATTGTCAGTCAAGGCGAACTAGTATTTTTAAATCCCGGACAAAATGTCGGGGGTATATAGTTATACCAACATTCCGCCCGTCCGTCCGTCCGTCCGTCCGTCCGATAACATTGTCCACGCGATTTCTGTTAAACTATTCAGGGGATTCATCTCACACTTAGTACATATAATCTGTGTTATATGGAGGGGTACAGTCCAAAGAAAAAAAAATGTTTTTATTAATTTTCCATTTTTTTTATGAATTTTTCAAACCCTAACGTCCGTCCGATAACTTTGTCCACGCGATTTCTCTTAAACTATTCACTGGATTTATCTCAAACTTAGTACATATAATCTGTGTCATATGGAGGGGTGCAGTCAAAAGAAAAAAAATGTTTTTATTAATTTTCCATTTTTTAATGAATTTTTCAAACCCTTACATCCGTCTGAAAACTTTGTCCGCACGATTTCTGTTAAATTATTCAGGGGATTCATCTCAAACTTAGTACATATTATCTGTGTCATATGGAGGGGTGCAGTCAAAAGAAAAAAAAATGTTTTTATTAATTTTCCATTTTTTTAATGAATTTTTCAAACCCTAACGTCCGTCTGAAAACTTTGTCCGCACGATTTCTGTTAAATTATTGAGGGGATTCATCTCAAACTTAGTACATATAATCTGTGTCATATGGAGGGGTGCAGTGAAAAGAAAAAAACTTGTCTTTATTAATTTTCCATTTTGTTATGAATTTTTCAAACCCTAACGTCCGTCTGAAAAACTTTGTCAGCTCGATTTCTCTTAAACTATTCAGGGGATTCATCTCAACATAAGTACATATAATCTGTGTCATATGGAGGGGTGCAGTCAAAAGAAAAAAAATGTTTTTATTAATTTTCCATTTTTTAATGAATTTTTCAAACCCTAACGTCCGTCTGAAAACTTTGTCCGCACGATTTCTGTTAAATTATTGAGGGGATTCATCTCAAACTTAGTACATATAATCTGTGTCATATGGAGGGGTGCAGTACAAAGAAAAAAATCTTTTTATTTATTTTCCATTTTGTTATGATTTTTTCAAACCCTAACGTCCGTCAGAAAACCTTGTCCACACGATTTCTCTTGAACTATTCAGGGGATTCCTCTAAAACTTAGTACATATAATCTGTGTCATATGGAGGGGTGCAGTACAAAGAAAAAAAATGATTTTATTAATTTTCCATTTTTTAATGAATTTTTCAAACCCTAACGTCCGTCCCATAACTTTGTCCACGCGATTTCTCTTAAACTATTCACTGGATTTATCTTAAACTCAGTACATATAATCCGTGTCATATGGAGGGATGCAGTACAAAGAAAAAAATTGTTTTTATTAATTTTCCATTTTTTTATGAATTTTTCAAACCCTAACGTCCGTCAGAAAACCTTGTCCACACGATTTCTCTTTAACTATTCAGGGGATTCCTCTAAAACTTAGTACATATAATCTGAGTCATATGGAGGGGTGCAGTCAAAAGAAATAAAAAGTTGTTTTTATTAATTTTCCATATTTTTATGAATTTTTCAAACCCTATCCTAGCTATTTAATTTGTAACTACTGACACATTAAGCGGGTCGGGGGTATTAGTGAGCCACGCTCACTTTTGCACTTGTTAATAATTAAACTCGATATTAAACTCAAGGACATGAGAAACGTCACCTATTTTCAATGCCACAAAATAACAAAGATATGTTTTATAACGGTTCTGGTTGTATTTTAAAACTGGGTAATTTACAAATTTTTGGCATAAACACTGACAAATCCGGAGGTTTATCGACATGTTTTGCGTGGAAGGCTAACTGTACAATATTCGATCACTAATAAAAATGAACCGCCACTTTCAAAATGTTAGCAAAAGCAAATATTCAGTCAATATCTGGCGTGTCAGCCGATGCCGGCTGTGACGCGGTGCCGAGCAGAGAAAGATCGTCGTCTAATAGCGTTGTCAGGGACCAGATGGCATTCTGCCTGCAATGCTTTAGCTAACGCCACTCCTGTCTCATGGCGTGGCTGAGGTTGCCTAATCTGTCGTCCAAGGTGGTCCCACAGATGTTCGAGGCCTGTTGAGAGATCTTGCAGGCCAAGGAAGTAGGTTCACGTTGTTGGCGTTGGACAATGCTCTGATAATGTGGGCTGTATGTGGGTGAGTTGGAGAGAAATGGCAGTACAACTGGTGTTATCACTTCACTGATGTAGCGTGCAGCGGTAAGATTGCCATCATTGACAACCAGATCCGTCTTCAGGTCTCCGCAAATCCCACCCCAGACAGTCACACTGCCACCACCGTATGGTTCAATTTCCCTGGCCGCCGGTAAATAAGCTCGATATTCCTCATCCTACTCATTCTCTGACGTCGATGTTCACGCGATAACGTCATGCCCTTGAACTGTCGGTAGGCTTTCAAAACATAGTGACGAAGTCGTCCGGACACAGTCTTTCTGTTGATGGGATGACCAAGGGCATGTTCTACCGATGTCGTCACTGTGAGGTATCTGTTCCTAAGGTGAAGCAGTCGTTAATGGTGGTCTTCCTGAGGGTTGTAACTCGGAGTCCACCGTTCCTAGGCCTGTCTGCTGTTCCACCTGTTTGCCTAAACCGGCTGACTAACCTCGAGTATCGTCCTTCTCGAACAGCCCATTACTTCAGCAACAGATTTGCATACGGGTATTTATCCAGGGGTTATGCCTGTTTCCTAGCAATAAGGGCATTATCACAACCAGCACATGCATTCTGCGCATGTCAGTGAAAGGAATGAATAAATTGCGTTTTGATGATACGTTTTAATCTATATTAAAATGTGTTTTGACATTGGTTGAAAATACATTGCACATATATTTGAGGTGACGTTTTTTTCGTCCTTGAGTTTTAAACAATATTTATCAGAAACTTC